AAAAAAAAAAAAAAAAAAAAAAAAAAGACGAGAGAAGTCATTCGATGAAAATACCACGTAAAAAAAGCCTCCCAGGAACGCGGGCGAAGCCGCTAGCAAAAGCTAGTAATATTATCTTTAGACTATGCATATGGGCTATGACGTAGGTAGATCATAGTAAACAGAAACTAAACATAATATCTGTTATCGCGTCAGTGATCTAGATAAGATATCTGACGAACACTAGAACCGATTAAAACAATGCACTACCAATATGAGTTTTGCACTAAGTCTATCAATCTAGGTAAGGTCCATTTGCTTAGGTAGACTAATTAATTGATTGCAATTGTATTGTAACTAAGTTAATTACTCGACAGTATATAACTGTCTCGAGAGTATATAACTACACGACTTTTATTTGTCTAAGAGACTACCAGAGGTGGTCGCCAGTTATGTTATGACAGTTATGATATGGGCCCTATGTAAAAATACGCAGTGGCTAGCAATGACTGCATTGTATAGTCATGGCGTGATCGAAATTAATCCATGCCGAAGTTGTTTAAATACATAGGTAACGTCACGATTTTTATTCGAAAGGGTAAAAGAGGATATAGTAGATATAACGTATATATAGTATAAACGTATATATAGTAGATATAACGCAGTGTAACACATAGTTTTCATCAACAATTGCAACAGAGAAATTTTAGAAACAAAACCCCAACATTACTTTATATGCCAATCGAATTGAATGGTAATCGAATTCCTTTCTCCGCATTCGCGTTTACAACTATTCGATCAACGATGCAAGCTAAGGGTAATATAAAGTTCTTTTAAGAATTACTTGTATCATTAATTATGTCTCAGATCTAGTTTAAAACTCCTTTGCCTGCCCCTCTCGAAAACTTCAAAAAGAAACGTATGTACGTATGGCATAAACTATCAGGAGAAGGAACGGGGTGGTTTGTAGTCAGTAAGAGTCTGACACTCCCTCCCGCCTCAACCAGGCGGGAGCAGTGATTCGATGATTATCCCCCCTTAGAAAAAAAAGTAATAAACTATGAACCTAACCAATCCACGTTAGTATTACCTTGACCTTTTAAATACTACATAATATTCCAAATACGAATCTTCAGTGATTCAAATTTTACCTTTCATCTGTTATACAATAAGTTGCGACAAATCTATAAAACATTCTATCTACTTGGACATCAATAATGTGATGACTACTAATTAAGTTGATGTAAACAACGTTTCAATTAGATTTTTTGTCCATAAGACTATAACTTTCGGGCACCTTAGTATGTTACGTTAGGTAATGAGTTAAGAAAATAGGTTCCTGTTTGTCCATTCCGCACAGAACAGGTGGTATTACAACAGTCCTACGAAATGCAAATTGTACACGTAAATTGCCCAAACAATTGCAAAATAATAGATACTTTGTTTAACTTTTCCTCGTTACATTTTAAACTAATTAGACAGGTTCGTATATATACCTAATAAAAAACTGTATAAGTACTTATAACTAATCCAGGACACATTGTTAGTTGTTAATCACGCACAGATATAATATAATTAATTAAAGGGAGTCAATCAAATATTATGAACTTACTGCCACCGTCGTTTGTCGTTCAGCTTGACAGATGCCGAGTTTCCCATGTTTCGTCGGTACTTCAACAATAGTTCACAATGAATACCGGTGTTTTAGTAAACAACTATAGTGTCTGCTATCCATAAAACGCGTCTAACCCACGCAACTACCAGTAACACTATAACCAACGTCAACTTAGAGAGCTGTGGCCATGACTTTCCCTCGCTAACTAACAGAAACAACGCGTCATTTCCTTTAATTGTTTTAAGAAAATCTCAGACCGCCATCAAAGGAAAATCGGGAAGATTGTGAAGTGTTCCCGCTTAATTTAGTTCCTGCAAGGTGATAATAGATGGCGTTAATACAGTAGTATGGGGTGTTCGTCGATATTTTTATTACACAGAGAAGTTGTTATTACGAATGCTGATAACAGATGTTAATTACGGATATCAATGATTTATGTTCCGGATTATTATAAATTTCTATATTTATTTCTCACGTGATAAGTTACCAAGTAGATCTAAGCTAGTTTATCTTAATGATCACCTAGGTACCGACTGGAAGTACGTGTTGGCGCAGTAGTTAATTACGAGTGCTCTACAATGTATTTTTATTTCTACTAGTTTCATACCTAGTATCAAATAGTAGGGCGGTAGGTGTTACACTCGTATGCTACTATTAATCACTTAGGTACTCAAATGTTTTACCTCTGGGAGAAGAGTACCTAAGTATCCAAGTATGTTTCATCTTCGATGGTCAATGTGTTTTACTTAGGTATAAGGACCGAAGTACTAAGTAGGGTTCCTTAGATGTGGAATGTGTAAAGAGTAAGTAAAATCTGTTAAACACCAAGCGGTCACCGGTGACCGCAACCTATTGTTCTATAATTGTGTCTACAAAACCGGTACCCGACGAGTTAAATCACGATTTTTTTTTTAAGGGGGGAAATCATCGAATGACTGCTCCCGCCTGGGTGAGGCGGGAGGGAGTGTCAGACTCTTACTGACTAAAAACCACCCCGTTCCTTCTCCTGCACGTCGAGCCGGAGCCCCGGTTACCCGTTAGGTTCTCCGCGACATTAAATCACGATAGGTTGGTAATAGTCTCGTAATTTCCACCACGACTCGAGGTTGCACCTAACAGTTCTTTAGCTTACAGGATCTGAGTACTGGTGAGGACTGCTTACTAGTTTAAAAACTGTAAAAAAACGTTATAATAAAATATGCTATTCAAATGGCTGTATGTTCTTATGAACTACCTAGGTGGTGGCTTATGACATAAAATATTTCAAGTAGGTACCACACATCAGTTGGACATAATTATTTATTTATATTGCCTGGACAGCTAAAACTCGAATAAACTATTGATTGTGCTTGTCTTAATTATTAGGTACTTATTAAATATTTAAGCACAACTCGTGGGACTGCTCCTGCTCATACCTATATTCCTACACCTTGTATTATAATTTTTCTGTTCGATATTATTATATTATTCTTAGACTGTTATTACTGACACATAATACATACTTGTGATTTATTTCTTATACTTTTTTTAAGTTTTATCCGACAAATTGTTTTTGTATTTCTAAACGTAACTATGACAGCTTGTCGAGCTCGCTTGTCTAAATTGACATTTATTGGTTTTTAAGGTTATGTTGTGTGATACGTAAACAAATTGAAATTATTTTAACTATTCTATCAATTAGATAATTCAAAAAATAAAATGAAGAAAGAAGGTATGGAATGTAAATGATATCCAAAATAAGTAAGAACTAGAACTTAATAAATCTAACGATGGATTTTCACATATTTTATGTCCTAACATTTACAGAAGTTCAAGAAATCTTTCTAAAAATATTGAAAGAGGAAGAGGATGTATCAGCAGGAGTTGCGGCCATTAGGACATTATTATCCGTTATAGAAAATTACAAAGGTAAATAAACCAAAATAGTGATATTTCATACGTACATTTCGTATACCTTACTCTTGCATCATTCATTAAAACTATTTCATTTCTCAACAAGATACTACTACTATTGACATATATACAACCACTGTTATTTTTTGTTTTAAGACAACTTGTTAATCTATTGATCCAGAAAAAGAAACGAACTTTTTACTATCTTTAAAAAAATTGTACCTAATTTCCAAGGTCAACTACAATTTACTTAGGGTACTTAACTACACTCCTAGTTGCATATAAATCATTGAAAGTAAAATATTACTATAATGAAACATTTAGCAAACTAAGCCTCATATCTTATCTTTACTCTACAGTACACTGTTCAATCCTGCTACCCCTCATTATCTCAAAGAACGTTTCCAGTTCTTCCATGACACACATTCTAGACCAGTACGGTCATCGGAGGACATGAAGCTTGAGATGCCCCAGCATGCGAGCAGATCATTTGACAGATCTTTTACAGTTCGAGCTGTTCGACTGTGGAATGCTCTGCCACTTTCTATAAGACAAGCAGAGTCACTTGTTGCATTCAAAGCACTCGTGAAAAAGCATTATCTCTCCACGTTGTAGTTTAGCATTACTATTTTCTTTTCTCTCTTTGTTTTTTTTTTCTTTACTGTTGTCTATTCATTGTTCATACTACATTTTATTTATGTATTTATGCATGTATGTGTATAGGTATATATTATATATGTTGTATGTATATATTTATATATATTTTTGTTTGATTGACGTATTTTATGTAAGTAAATAATTTTATTTAGAGAATATAATAATATATTTTACTTGTACATATAATTTATAAGTACCTGAGTACACCTAGAACAACCTCCACTTTCATACAACAGTGCTCCATTCACCCAAAGGTTGCCTGGTAGAGATCGCTTTTAGTGATAAGGCCGCCTTTGTACCCTACTATTCTTTATTATAACATTACATGTATATTCTATTGATTTTAGGTGTACAATAAAGACTAAAAAAAAAAAAAAAAAGCCTGTTTGTTCTGTTGTTGTTGTTTGTTTGAGCTGTGGATGGTCTAATGGGTTACTAGGAGTATGTTATGGTAATCCATACCACTACACATTCCTACTATTAAGAATGGTGTACTTTTTAGTCAATAAGCGTCTGACCCTCCCTCTCACCTCACTTGGCACCTGGAACAAATTATTGCATGATTGTCCCCCTCACAAGTCTATAAGTAGGTAGAAATTTCAACATGATTTTGTAGTACTTATATCCGTATATCCCCAAGTGGTCACTGGTGAACTCTCCACTAACTACATTATAAACCTTATTTTCTATACCTACATCAGTTCCATAATTATATATATTATATATTTTTTCCTATAAACTGCATATGTTGTACAGAAAGAAATAAATAAATAACACTGATACAATGTAAACAATATGATAATAATCACTATTAAATCAATTAATTGCAAATAAAAGGGACATGGTTAATAGATGTTTGTGTTTGTCTTATAAATGAGATGTCCCATGATTTAGGTATGTTTTAATATTTATCCTACCAGTGGCAACAGTTAGAGAGCTGGATCTCAACCTGCAGTTGGCAGTAGATGCCATGAAACATTGTGACCAGCCCGTCACTGCCATCTCCTCAGGATGCGAGCTGTTCATGAGGTTTATTACTTTTGCCAAACTTGATGTTAAGGTAAGGAATTGGTAAATGTTGTAATTAGTTTAACACCTTGAATGCCGACTACGAATATATCCGTATATGGTTCTATGCAGGACGCCGTACATAGGACTTTTATATGAGTATATACACGGGGACGAGGGGGATTGACGGGTGCGGGGTGGGCAAGTACCTAGGGTGCCAAATCTACGTATTTATACGTATAGGTATTTATACGTATACCGGCACCTAGGCAGCTTTTGTTTTCGCTGACGCCATATACGTATATATCCATAAACAGACAAATGTATTGTGGCAACCAACTATGGCCGTACAGCCAATTTTGGCATTCAATGTGTTAATAGCTCTGTGTTTTTGTTGTATGTTATACATATGTGTGCTGGATATGGACATGTCATGAAACTGCTACCACATACTGCTAATTGAAAACCATTATCTAGATGTTAGGTGACCTAACTGCCCAGTGTCCTAACCTGGCATAAAAGGGCCTTGGTTCAACAATTTTCACAATAGATATTCTGGCTGTTGATGCTGATATTGATAATCATTTATAATTGATATCTTTTTTTAAAAAAAAATGTTGCCCCACACTAGGATTTTCTCTTGTGTCGTGGGTGCGTTTACAAATACAATATCACATACACATGACACCCAGACCCGGAACAACAATATGTGGATCACACAAAGAGTTGTTCCGTGCAAGAATCGAACCCGCGACACGTTGCGCGGCAGCCAGTTGCCGAGTCACCGCGCCAACCGTGCAGTCTTCTCTTTCTTACCATTTTGTTAATGAATCATTTTGTATTTTTCAGTCCTTTGAAGAGTGTGAACAAATTATGCTCCAAAGAGGTCACATATTTTTGAACACTTTACTGGAGGCTAGAGGGAAGGTTGCCAATATAGCAGCACATGCCATAAATGACGGATATGTAAGTATTCATTATATTTTTATGGAAAACTATGATGTTGGTCCAGTTGTTTGTCCCCATATACCAGTGTGGTGTAACTACTGGGTGGCATGTCGGCAAAATGCCCCTTTCCCCCGAATGGATCCCGTTCAGAGGTTTTCATCCAAACTACTCTATTTTATAATAACGCCACTGCGCTAGTATATATATCCCATCGGAGTCGCGGAGAACCTAACGGGTAACCGGGGCTCCGGCTCGACGTGCAGAAGAAGGAACGGGTGGTTTTTAGTTAGTAAGAGTCTGACACTCCCTCCCGCCTCACCCAGGCGGGAGCAGTCATTCGATGATTTTCCCCCCTTAAAAAAAAAAAAAAAAAGTATATATATCCCATAAAAAGCTTTAATTTATGCAAGCATGTATAAGTAAATATTAAAACTTTTGTGAGACATACTAAACGCATTATGTTTTCAACTTACTAACATAACTGTTTGGCGAGGAACTCGACTGACGCTGCTACTACCTACCGACCTACAGTACCAGCGCGAGTTAGTCGCCGCGTTCCGTGTCGCGGAATTAATATGATCCTCTAGTATGGCTTGAAAGTTAAAACTAGACTAGTTCCTCGTCAAATAGTTACGTGTGTAAGCCGAAAGTATAATAATTAATTAAGCATGTTTGTAAAATATGTCTAAAAACCATTGTATTTTTACTTTGGTACACAAGATATAAAATGCCTAGAATCACATTGCTCACAAAACTTCATATTTCAGAGAATTTTGACCCACTCCCGGTCTAGAGTTGTCCTGCAAGCTATGTTAGAAGCAGCTAAAGCCAATAAAAGGTTTAAAGTATTTGTTACAATGTCCGGTCCTGACAATAGTGGGTAAGTATTCCAATTTTTTTACCAAAATTATAAAAAAATGCTTTTTTATCTTTCTGGATGGACGAAAATAATTCCATATAAAAAGGTGTCTGGAAGAAAGATAAAGAAACTCTTGCCCTGTTATGGATAAGTTATACTTTAATATACCCAAATATTTCTTATTCATGTGTCTGCATAAATACCTAAATTCTTTTTTAATCATTTTCACTTCAGAATACAAAGTACTTAAAATGTATAATTTGACATTTTCCAGACTACTAATGCAGAAGCAGCTAGAAGAAGCTGGTATAGATGTGACCCTCATCCTGGATGCAGCAGTTGGCTACATTATGGAACAGGTGGACCTTGTGCTGCTCGGCGCTGAGGGAGTCACAGAGAATGGGGGAATTATTAATAAGGTAATCTTTTACGATGTATTATATTTCTGTAAGCCGATGCATTGGTAGATCACCTCACTTCAGCCCTTGCCGTCAATGTCCATAAAAAACTTCTCTAATGGGCGTGATCGTGAGCCTATTGAGCGTGATCTTTAGAGAAATTGGAGAAAATAGATTATAAGTACAACCTGTTGTCTCTAGTTATGACACTATGTGCCCACAGCTACATAACATCACGCTTTTTATCCCCGAAGGGGTAGGCAGAGGTGTACATTATGCTACTGTACAATGTAACACGCACTTTTTAACTATTTATGTTATGAGTCCCATGTAATAGGGGGTGAGCCTATTGCCATATACCGGGCACAATTCCAGACTTCGTGCTACTACTGAGATTTTTTTAAAACCCAGTAAACTTTGCCCGACCCGGGAATAGAACCCGAGACCCCTTGCCCGGCAGTCGCACATGTGACCACTCGGCCACCGAGGCAGTCTGTGTGCACTAAACATAATTTTAAACTCTGCTGTTAACTATTGTGGGTTTTTTAATATTTATCTTTGATTAATTGAAATGTAAGAACTTTTACTCATGTGTTGCACTTACAAGACGTGATAAGTGTCTAAACAATCTAATTACCTTTTTTCAGATCGGAACATACTCATTAGGAATAGCAGCCCATGAACTGAAGAAACCAGTGTTTGTGTTGACAGAGAGCTTTAAATTCTCTAGAATATACCCTTTGAACGAGATGGACTTACCAAAGGAATTCAAGTACCTATCGAGTGTAATAAAGTCCGGTAAAGACCTGTCGAAGGAACACCCTCTAGTTGACTATACGCCCCCTGTATATATTACGTTGCTGTTCACCGATTTAGGAATTTTATCGCCATCGGCAGTTAGTGACGAACTTATGAAACTGTATTTGTAAATATTAATGTGTACAATAAACTTTATTTATAAGTATTTGAAGTTGGTTTTTGTTTGCAATAAAACATAACTGTGGACAAGTAAAGAAAAGATGGACACTTGACAGTTGCGTAATTATACCGTTCGGGGCCCCGTTCCCAATAAAAAACAAAGAAGTTCAGATAAAATTCTCTGAACCCTTCAGCTCAGTTTCAGCTGGGGGCCAGTGGCATTTTGCCGAGTTTCCACCCTATAGTTACGCCACTGGCACTTGGGCACATTGTAGGAGGAAAACAAGATATGGAATTCGTGGAGTGTGGGACAGCCATGCTTCGGCACGAATGGGCCTGCTCGACCGGAGTGATACCACGGCCTCACAGAAAACTGACGTGAAGCAATGCTTGCGTTGGGTTTCGTCGTGTGAGTGAGGTTACCGGATGCCCAATTACCCTCCCCTTCCCCAATCTCCCCAATCCCTGAATACCCAACGATCCTCAAACTCCTAATCCCCAAAAGGCCGGTAACGCACTTGTAACGCCTCTGGTGTTCCAGGTGTCCATGGTCGATGCCGATTACTTACCATGGTGATCCGTCTGCTCGTTGACCGGCTTATGCCATAAAAAACAATCATAAAGGAAATCGACAGTAGGGAAAAAATGCGAATTCAAAAATGTCTGGCACTTTAATGTTGTACGAAATATATTTACATAGTTTTGATATAGAGTTCAATTAAAATACTAGACTGCCTATACATTTATATCTCACTTTGTGTTAAAATATCAATTAATAATAACATGCAATTATACTAGGCAAGAGATAAACATTACATCTTAAACTTAATATATTGTTACACTATTCTGTGGAAGCATTAAAGATATCACAAACATGTCCTTTATTGCCACTAGTTACATCTATCTTAATTAAAAAACTACTAAAATATTCATTATATAATCTTCAGAAAGTATGGAAGCCCTTAGGAAGGATATTTTCTTCTCATATTGTTTATATACTGAAATTAATAAAATATAATTGACTTTCTTCATAACTTTCTTAGTCAAGTTACAATGTTAGAAGTCCATACACTACCAAGTTATACAAAAAAAGTTGCCTAGGACGGTAGGCTGATTTCAAGAAAGGTTTTATTCCATACCTTAATGGTTCAATTACAAAAAATCTACAATGTCTAAATTAAATCTAACATTTGATGCTATACTTTACAAATACAGATTATTTTTCATATAGGTACATATAAACTAGATTAGGCTTAACATTGTACTTGAATACAAAATATACGTAGATATGTCAGTCAGAACTGATATAATATGTTGTACTTATATACTATTATTTCCATCTATCGCTAAAGTACCATTCGTAAGAGATCAACACTTCGATTACTTATAAAGAACACTGTCTAGCGCTTATAAGTATGTATACTAAAAGAAACAATAGAGGGAGAGAGATTCTCAAAAAGCACCTTCACCTTAACAACAATATTCATTTAAGGACATTTTTAAGGTTCAAGAATAACCGTGAACACTGTCTTACAATTAGTATTATTGTAGACTAGAAGGCAAATTAATGTTTAATTGAAAAGTAAGTATAGAAAAGCTAAAGATAAGACCGACTTTACCTTTTTATGAAGATTTATAGAGTCAGAAATTGGACATGGCAATCACATTTTACAAAGAGGGCAAAAGTTTTAAACTATATACGTGCTGCCATTTAAAAGTGCATTTTGACTTTGCCCTCATCACCAAAAAAAATCACCCTCTCAACAAATCATGCACAATGACTAAGATTTTTTTAATAATCACAGACCCCCTATTGTCTCTTCGAAATACTCAACACATCCATTTATAATACAAAAAGATATAGTCACTACATACAAGTACAATTTTATTATTTAACACATAACATAATTATATAACAAAACTTAAACAAACAATACAGAATTCAGTTGCCTATTGTATAATGGAAAATGAGTAAAGTATATTTATTTTACACAAATATTTTTTAATTATGAATGTTTACAAAAAAATATTTTTTAATGTCGCTAACCCTGGTCGTAAACTGGGTAAAGTAGATTCAAGTTTTCGTTCATAAATAAGACGTTATTTTCAAATTATTATCAGTTTAATTCGAAGATTTTTCATAATAATGTGTCCTTTCCCTTTAGATAGGCACTTATTTAAAACCGTTCTGTCTCGTGGACTGTCGAAATAAATGCGTTGTGTCCCTGATGGACTATACTTCAACATAGACACCATCAGCAATAGAATATCCGCAGTTTTATTTCATCAAAAATTTCTACTGAATTTGACAGGAGACCTAGGGTTGAAAGACAAGATGGCGTACAAAATTTAGCACATGACATTATACCAATAGTGTTACCTATTGTAAATATTGTCTATGATCGTGTATATCTGATGGAAGTGTGGTCGCTTTTCTGCCTCGTACTCCCAGCAGCGTAACATTAGAGCGTATACGTCTTCGGAACAGCCTTCGGGCGCTGGCATTCTGTAACCTGGAAAATGGAGGATGAGATAAGTAAATACACTTTTGGTATTTTTTTTATTACTAACATCCTTAGTGACAACACTTATGGATGGTCGTAACAAGTAAGTACATTTGCTACGCCAGAACTATGCGAGATGGTTTATCTCATGTAGAGAACTATGTGATTGCATTATCATTTCCTAGGAAGAAGGCTCCTTGAAAAAGATGTGTTAATTTCGTGTAGTTACCTGTATCAATTTTCTCGCGAGCTCGTGAGTTGCTCATGCCTGCGTAAGGAGTGTCACCCTTGGAGAATATCTCCCACATCAGCACACCGTAGCTCCACACGTCACATAGCGATGTGTATTTTCCTGAAAGAACATAAAAATTAAAAAATGTCCAAACTTTTAGGCACTCATTGATGATTTGTAAAACTTTTCAGATCCTTTTAATTCCACTTAACGCTTTTTGCTCTAATAAATCGACCAAACAACTAACCAAAATTAAGTGCCTCCGGAGCAGTCCACTTAATAGGAATCTGCTTCATGCCTCCCGACACGATATATTCCTCCTCCTCTCTCGACATGCCGAAGTCAGATATCTTGACAATGTTGTCGTCTCCCACGAGACAGTTCCGGGCTGCAAGGTCACGATGGATACAGTTCTTGGACTCCAGGTAGCGCATGCCACCAGCAGCGTCTCGACACATCGCCAGGAGAGACCGGGAGCTTAATGAGGATGCTCGTGTACGCAGGAATGTGAGGAGGGAACCACCTGAGAAGAAGAAATAAAAGATTAAGACCACAAATTGATAAAAGAATTGCTGGTTCCTAAGGTTGAAATAGAATTTTTAATTTGTTCCATCGTGAAACTGTGCGACAAATCAAAAGCTCTATTGAACATAGATATCTTCTCGATTATCGTCTTATCATCTTAATCACGAATTCTATCAGTGAATCTTTCGTTTTACCCTATAAAAACATAACTAAGTAGGTACGTATACATATTTACCAGCAAAATCTATGGCTAATGTCGGTAAGTAATTTGGAACGCATGTTTCACCCAACCAGAACAAAATGGGTCTGGACACCCACGTTAGCTAATTTCACAAGCATCTTCCATGACACACCACGATAAACTATACTTAGATGCTGTTGCATAAATAACTATTTCGAATTTGGATTATTAGCTAAGTTCTTAACGCATGAACATAATACCAAAAAAGATGGTAAGGACCTCAACACATAGCAATTTATCATTAAATATGAGGTAAAACCAATGGGAAAAACCTAAAAATGTTACTGTATATACTTATCTAAGTAAGTATTTACAAAATATTAAATCATTTATTATTTAAAAGACTGAAGGTATGTAATATTTGATTGACGTCATTTTCATTACCAAACCATGTAAGTATTTGGTTGAAACCGTAATGCATTACACCTGATTACAGTTCAAGAATAAGTGCCATAACGAATTTATTTTAAAACCTACTAGGCAGGTACTCGTACCGGGCAGTCTACCAACGACACAGTCAAATTTTATTAAGTGGGTACCAAATAATTAGGTCAAGAGGAAATTCTGTCTACGGAATGCAGACGAAACCAAAGACTTTTGATATGCCACGTGTGACGCAAGACATTGTAAAAATAAATGCATATTTTTATAACTCAGACTCAAAAGACGACACTCATGTTTATTCAATTTTGGCGACCCACTCAATACAACAATATTTGTATAAAATTAGCAAAGGTTATGTGTCATCTGCAATATTGAAAGAGATTTTTAAAATGCAATATTTTTAAGTGTGTTGTTATTGGCTTCCTGTTTTTTGCGTCTGAAATTCCACTACATTTATCGGGTAGATATACAATATACATAGATATTAGGTATGATACACATCTAAGATAGATGATGTCTAATTAGGTGATTCCAAAATTCACTCAGATACCTAGTTAGAGGTATTTAGTAATGCCTAAATATTTATATGGTGGATAATAAAGACTAATATCTACTAGATATTAGGTATGATACATATCTAAGATAGATAATGTCTAATTAGGTCATTCCAAAATGCACTCAGATACCTAGGTAGAGGTATTTATTAATGCCTAAATATTTAGACGGCGGAGAATAAAGACTAGTATCTACAGTTTTAAACAAGAGCTAGATTATTTTTCGTCTTAAAATTTTATAAGCAGTCACATAAGATTTACAACATGTTAGCTATCTGTTTATCATTCACTGAAGCATAAAATGAGATCAACGAACTATGATAATATGAAACTGAAAATTCATGAGACTGTTTGAAAACATGTCAATCTGTCATCTGATCATGTGAAAACAACGTAATTTTAATGAAATTTATCTTTTAAGATATTATAGTATGTTGTGTGTGAGTCAAAATACCATAAATAAGTTTTTTGAAAAATCTTAAATTAATGTCTATCTCAAAGCTCAAACTTTGCTTCATTATTTACTTACCTACCTTCTAATTCATCCATGTCTCTTCCACTATGTTCTGTTCCGTACCTGAATATTAGGTATCTTAAGTTCTTTAAAGTACAACTTTAAAACAAGAAATCTCACCAGGCACGAGTTCCATGACGATCATAATGGGCTGCTTCTGCACAGCTATGCCAATTAGCCGTACTATGTTCGGATGCTGGTACTGCTTAAGGATGCGACCTTCTTGCAAGAAGGTCCGTTTCTGCTCGTCTGGTAACGCCACCCTGCATGTCTTTACTGCCACCTCCTGATTGGTGCTCTTCAGCCGAGCCTTGTACACGTCTCCGAAGTTACCCTAGTGACAAAAAAGAGGTGATTTAGAAAAAAATCGTTAAGACCCGATTTTTTACACATCTTAACTGTGGAATAAAATTGACATTTGGCAGTTTTTAGTACGGAAGAATTGTCAAATATTCAAAGTTATTACTGTGATCACCTTTAACTGGCGTTGAAAAAACCGGCCCTAAGAGTTTTAACCTTTAAACTGGCTATATTTACGTCTGCTACTAATTAAAACTTAGTAGGTACCTCAATAATGTTGAAGTTTTAAACATTGGTACTAGTACCATACCAATTGATACGAATTTATTAATATAAAATGCTATTTCAAGGATTTATTCCTACAAATCAATTTGAAATAACGAATAACCTATCAACAATTAGTTATAGTTATTTGCAATTATTTCCTTATTCACATAAGGGGGACGCCTAGTATATAGGTACTGCTACATAGGTACAGTTACGTAGGTAATATACCAACACATGTTAGAACGAATTGTTCCTTATCTTTACGTAATAGTACGCAAGTTGAAATAAACGATTATTCAATGCATCTAATTTCGTGTGACGCATACAGTAAACTTCTCATTGTAACAATCAAACAGCTATTGTGACTACATTGATAAACATACATACACACGTAATGCAAGCACCTTGCTGATTGTGTCATAATGTCCAGGAGAACAATGGACCAATTCCTAGAAGCTCATAAAGTAACCTAGTTTAATTAGTTAGGAATAGAGTAACAATATTATATTTCTACTTTATTAATTAATTAATTAATCTTTTCTGTAAAATAATTGCTGTTATTTCATATTCTTTTTAAAAAAACAAACGTTGCCACACACTGGGTTTTTGTCCTGTACGACACAGGGTGCGTTGCCAAAATACAAGTTCACATGACACCCAGACCCGGAACATCAATCTGTAGATCACACAAAGAGTTGCTCCGTGCGGGAATCAGTTGCCCAACAACCGCGCCAAACGTGCAGTCAGTATTGGATTCAACAATTTTTAGGTTAATATGCCGTTCTTGATATAGCGTAATTTGTAAATGCGCCTGTTTGTGTCCATTTTACTGAACGCCATGAATGTAAGAAACTGAAAACGTTTATTAACGAACAGATGCAAGCTTACTAACTACTACAAATATATAGTGCTTTTTTATTTTCAGGATTTGTTAAGCAGCATTCCGTAACATGGACGCGAAAAGGCGAAGTTATACCCCCTTTGTTTTTAAAATTAAAAAAACTTCATCGTCCTTCAAGAGATTACAAGGTCATAACATAGAAACCCACCCAATGGCCCAATGGTTAGACTTAAATAACAGAATACCAATTAATGAGATTTAGCAATTTGTATGGATTTCCTTATCTCGATCTTGATCACGGAGTAGGTACAGTAATACAGATGTGACATGTGACTTACTCGTCCAATCTTGTCCAGTAGTTGTACATCGTCATTGTTTAGCTCCCAGTTCTCCCGTGGCACTGCGCGTCGAAGTAGGGCTCCGGATCGAGCAGTCACTGGTACTCCACTGGTCCTCTGCCATGCTATCAGCTCAGCTACTGAGGGGAACGCGGCTCCTTCGAAACGGTAATGACCCTAAAAAGAAAAATAGAAAGTTGAAACAGTGAAAACGGAGATATTCCTATCCTTGTTTATATTAGAATTGCGAAAGTGTGCTGTTTATTAGTTCGTCCATCTTTTACGTCGCAACGAAATGTTGTATGGTAGGTACGATTTCTGTGCCTGGAAGTAATTAAGAAGCTACAGGGTGTTTGATATAAATTCACCGGTTAAATTCACGGGCGAAAAGCTAGTTTCATCGTTATTCGTTTGGCTAAGAATAGCTACTTCCTACTGGAACTTGATAGACATAGCCATAGTTATTTCAAATCTGCTTCCGTCACTTATGACGCATTCGTAACGTCCGTAGCTGTACCTTATGTATTGTGATGTATGATATAACTCTTCTACTTAATATTCGTCTGTTAGCTTACCAAATAATTTTTAGAAATATTTTCCCTATACCTTTAGCGTAAGCCTTCCCTTCGCCCTGGATAAATAGCTAATCAGTACATTTTCTTTTTTCTTTTTAAGAATAAGGGACTTACTTTAGTTCAACAACCTCCCATAATGTGTCCCGTTGTAATCCTCTTATTTTGGGCAGAACAACAACAATCGAACCATAATACAAAACATAATAAATGAATCATACAAAAAGAAGAAGAACAGCTTTTACGTGGAATGGACCACGACTGACCTCATAATGTTTTAAAATGCTTATAAAATTAATTCTTCAATCGTTAAAGTGAACTAGGTAAGTCGAACTTCTGAGAATATAAAGATTCATTAATTGAAATGATGCAAATTAATTTATGATTCACAAGTCATAAAATGTCTAAGTACCACTTTTTCATTGCAGATTCGCTTCCTCAATATAATTGACTCTGGGATACCGTGCAATTTCAAAGCTTTTAAGGCACATACCTACGCATTGTAAAAAGTACTTAATATAATCACAACTATGCATTTCACTCCGATGCTCCTATTTCTAGATATCCCCATTCTCGAGACCCAGTCGAATCGAGTCGAAACCCAGACAACAAAAAACAGACTTCTATTTACCTACCTAAGCAAAACTTTTTCTTGGCTTTCGTGTACGTCTCCAAATTGTAAGCTAATTTAACACTAATTAGTAGTCTTTAATGCAGAGTAGATATTAAGTATTATCTAAATCCTGTACCAGGCACCGCACCAACATCGATTTACTAAAATGTTACTTGGAGATTTGCATTCAAACCTGTTCGTGGCAATCTAGCAATTGTCAGGTCCGTACTCTAAGAATACCAGCAAAAAACGTTCCAAATAACAGGTGTAACTAGTAATCTTTTTTGCAAGACATTTTTTGTGTAAACCGCTTAGCGAATCTAGACTGGTCAAGAGCATAGGAATTCGGAAGACCTTAAAAAAGTGGTAGCAACGAGTATATAAGGTGAACATTGTAAGTTATAGGACAGTTTCTAACTACTTACATAATTATATCTTTGCTATTAGCAAAACAATGTGATGCTATAACTTGATCAGCTAGGCTATATTCTGTAAGATGTCAATTCGAACTCTCGAAGTCATGTCGATTGCATTCTCGCCCGTCATTGGTTAAGATTATTCTCACAACCAGTGACATGACAGCCTACGGATAGACGAGCTCACTTCAAGAGTTCGGATTCACATGTTACAGAATATCCTAGCAGGCCGCAAAGTTGCTTGTGGAAAAATGTTTACATGATAATTAAGGCCAAGACAATAGATATGGAAACGGACTTCTACTGCTAAACATACCTCAGGGGTCGTCTGCACAATAAAGTGTTTGTGTTGTCCCCAACACACGGACAGCACCAGTTGCCTCGCATGGTTCCTCGTGGTCTCTCGCACCAGATAGTCTCCATCTGCCCTCAGAAGCCTCACAACCTCTTCTCGTGGTAACACACCATGGAACCACTCTTGTTCCACCAAAGACCTCTCTGTCTCGCTCACACTCACCTGAGAAAATAGAGATATTAATAAATACATGTAGGTAGGTTATAATGAAACCCGGTGACGATGTCAACGACGAGAACTTTTAGAAGAAACATCGATGAGTAAAGTAAGGAGTAAACAGTGACTGCCTTGTCTCGCTAGACATAAACTTATTCATTTGATTATTTACGATTTTATTTGATTTTCTGGCTATAATATTATAATATTAAAGTGTGATTGATAACCATCAATAAAATTAATCGATTTGATGTTGCATACGATTCCACTTACTTGATAATGTCAAGAAAATAAACGAATAAAACCTCTGCTAATTTTTGATAGCATATTAGTAGCACGATAAAACGCATCAAGAGAAAATACAACAGCACGCGATGCACATGCACTCACCTACTTAATTACATAATGCGATAAAAACACACGACAAACAAACACGTAACAACCATAAGCGATAACATACTTCTAGTTCTAACTCTTTCTCTAGTTCAAGTTGTAGCTGCTTCAGCCGTTTCTTCCTGCGAGGCACCACGACTGGCGGGGGCAGTTCACTGTGCGTGATGTACATCGAAAACGGATCCATTACGTCCATTACTCAAACTAATCAGTTTCACAACACCGCAAAAGATACCGACACTACTTTATTATCTCTTTTATTTCACCGCATGTTGCGAACGTTACCAGAAACAGGATGAACTTGACGTAAACCCCACGACTGAAGCGTACACAGTCCACACGTAAACATCGATTCATTTCTGGAACGTCGCAAGCGGCTTCACCTTGATTTTGAAACTGAGTTTTAAGGAGAGCCCGTGCTATTTTCATTTTATTTGAAATCTCATTCCCGACAGAAGTTCGTGCGGTGCACGGTGACGTGAAGTGTTTGCGCTAAAATTAGCACTGACACGTTTTGACTGAAGCTCGTTTCAGAGCGAATTAATCGTGCCATTTCCAGTGGCGTCGTGGAAGACGAAAGCTTCATGCATTGAACTAATTCCATGCCATGCGTGGGTGAGGGAAGTCTCGGTTAGTGGCACTCACCACACTGTTAGAACAACTATCGAGTACAACGCGGCTCTGTTTTCTCTTTTTGAAGAGCGTTTTGTTGTGAACTCGGCAATGCACATATATATCCACACGTTTGCGAAAGCGATGCCTCAGCACTCTGATCCTTCTGCGATGTGGCGTGATTACCGAGTCAGCAGGGCCCTCACTGCTGCTTCTATACGTCTTGGGTGGTAGCGCCGGACTGGAAGGCGCAGATTTGCGTCGGAACGGCCGCGTGAATAATTTGAAGAAGGGCTTCGGTGGTATTATTGAGTGGAGGTGCAATCTTAGAACGTCTGTCGACGCCTTAGACCCGATTGAGGAGCGATCCTGATAATCGAATTGTGTCTTTAGCAAAACCGGTAGCTTTCTTTTATCAATAGTATGCACTATTTTTCTCCACGTAATCGTTAAATATTAAATTATTGTCTGCATAGAAACATGCAAGTTAACCTACCTGGTGATCAGGCGAGCTGCCGTCCAGACTATCAACGCCCACAGTCTCAGCAGATAGATCAGGGCATCCACTGGGTGCCTCTTCACAGCCCAGTTCAGCCAGGGCTGACCTGATCATCTCGGCTTGTTTGGCACATTTGCGTTCTGCTACACGGAGTTCCAAAAGTTTTATGGGCTCTGAGGTCGTCACTGGCAATGGTGGCGGTGAATGCCTATGAAATCAAAAAAAAATAAAGGACCATAGTTAAGTAACTAAATAAAAAAAATAAAAGAGAATTAAGACACGTTTTAAAATCCAATAGCCATCATCAGATGTTATTACTAAATTGTGTAGTACAATGACTTTGTTTTGAATAATCTGCTATCTCTATGTTCATTGTCACAAGACTCACCTATCAATACCATTAACTCCATTAGTGAGTCCAGTATTGTTGTTCTTGCAGACTCCGTTCCCAATGATCTCAGGACCCTGCAGAGCTGACTGCTTCTCCCTGTTGTCCTGTAGCGTGTTCTCCAGCTCCGTCAACTTCTCCTTCAACCATTCCACCGTTAAATTGTCAACAGTCAACTGGTTCGGTTGCAGCTTTCCGCTCGTGTCTTCGACGAGGCTTTCATCGAAGTTAAAGGTGACCGGCGTTGAAGGTGGCGATCTAAGTAAAATAGAATAAATACTATTAAGTTTCGACTGGTCAGTCAGGGTTCCATAATTTCAAATGCCCTATCATACCCAATCTTCGATTGCATCATCGTTTTTGCCCTGTCCCCGAAGAAGTACAATCAGTGGTTTAGTCTTATAAAATCCTAATAACGTCATTAAATAGGACTTAACAATGAAGGGAAGAAGTTAACAATGTAATTCTAACTTAAGCTTGCAAATAAATTGTAGAACAGGCATTTAACACGAAGGTGGTATGACTCAGCGTCAGTAATATGTAAAATACTGACACCACTTGACGATATGTGGGGAGGAATATTAATAAATTTAAAATATTTTTCATGTGGTTTTCCTCATATTAGACGCGAAAAGTATTTAAAAAGTACCTTAGCCGATTTATAAGGTTAAGTACTGAGTGGTTGGTAGGTAAACCGGTAGGCATATATGTGATTTTCGATTTTAATAAATAATTGTTTCCTAAACCCAGTTATCATGGTAGAGTAAAATATATTAAGAGCAAGCTATGAAACTACATACATGTTTGATAGACTGGGTAACAGTGCTCTCTGATATATCTTAACCTATTAATTTTAAATTGCCATCGCCACCGCCTGTCATGCGTTGAGATTATGGCAAACATTCTGATGTAGAGAAAACCCAAGCTCATACTCCAGCTGTGATGTGAACTGTTAATGTTGTAACAACTTATTAGGTACTACAACAAGGTAATTAACCAATTATAGATAGAGGCGGAACTTAAGCACTAAATGCATTCCATAAAGTACCCGTTGACACAATCACAAATATGACGTCACTATGCGGTTTGGTTTGTAAATTACCGCTTTTGTGGTTATAGAATCGAATACTTGTTATCGTTTATTTCTTCATTCATTACCACGGGATTTACAATAGCATTGTTTTGGTAAATTACCTGCATTTTTCCAAAATGAGAATTGGTTGTTGTTATTGTGGATTTGTTTTGTCGAATGGATAACGTCATCCTTTTTTTGGAAGCTAAACTATGATTACTTCATCCATGTTTATCTCTATAAGACTAAGCTAAGTCTTAACTTCCGTGTTTAGGCAAGAGAATCCACATAGAGGTGTTGAATTTCGAATCGATTACGAATTTTTGCCAGGTGACAGATGATTGATGGTAGACGACCTTTTCTATTAAACCAATTAGGCATATTTGACCAGACAGACTCAGTACCCTTCAACAATCTCAAACTCTCAAATTCTGAATTTTCTATTGATTAATCACCTTTGTAATTACTTTTAGCGCTCTGTTTTTGTGCCCGAAGCTTACCCCCACTCAAGAGTGAGAGTTATCACTTAAAACTCAGAAAACAATACACAAAATCATAAAAATATACAATTGAGTGGCTTAAAACTATTGTTAAGTATTTAAATGGCCTCAAATTGTTTAAACAAGGCCTTTGAATGTTTGAAAGTAACGGTAAGTTCCTGACTACCTCTGATTCATGCCTTACCTTCAAAGCTTCGACTCATCGCTCATGCTCATTGTCACCGATAACTTCTTTTAAAACCGTTCCGAAATAAAATGTTTAGTCATTAAAATGTTATTTGAACTTGAAATACATGACTATCATTGAATTTGGGTTTCACTTTCGCCAAGTCTTAATTTGGTATTTTTATTTCTTTGTCATCATTACCTACTAGGATTTAAAAATTATCATCCGTCATCCGGATGATGTCCAATATCCACATCAAAAGCCTGTGATTGTGTACTGCTTGTCTATGGTACAGGTGTAGTCTCCCTAAAATAGGATTTTCCAACGTTTGGATCGCAGTTAGATCACTGACAGATTAGGAGACACTGCTGGCTTTCCATTGATAGTTTTTTTTTAACGGGGAAAATCATCGAATGACTTCTCCCGCCTGGGTGAGGCGAGAGGGAGTGTCAGACTCTTACTGACTAAATACCACCCCGTTCCTACTCCTGCACTTCGAGCCGGAGCCCCGGCAACCCGTTAAGTCCTCCGCGGCTCCGTATTGGCATCAGCCCTGTTGGGCCCCATCAGTGGTGGTCTGATGGCTCTTTGAGGCGCGCGTGGAACGAGATGATGGCTGAACGCAGTTTTAGGATGCACCCTCATTTCCATCTTTCCATCTCATGTTTTAATCTGACTTATTAATAAGCTATCCTTTTGGCGTATAAAAAGCATAGTTCAAAAAATATAATACATCTCTAGGTATTCAGCTTTAAAGTCTAGGATAGATGTATCTAGTAGATATCGTATCATATTTTTCTTTCTCAGCATAGTAAGCAAACAATTCTACAAATACCGCAATGTTCTAGGATTGTAATATAGTAACATAACAACGATTCTAGGAATAAAACTGCAAACTGTGACTTTTGGCGTAGGTATATTTCACTAAACTAGTAATCTAAGTACCTGTTTACCTATTCACAATTTCACAGTAATATATTAATATTGCCAAGTCGAAAGTATACGGTACCTAGATATCATTTTACTTTCTACCGTGGACTGATAATAATTCATGATGTTGCACATTTACCGTTGGCCGTTGATTTAAATTCGAGAATGATATGTAAAAAAGAAACCTATTATAAAAATATAATTGCGAAATGTTAATAACTCGGACGGGAAATTACTTACATTCAACGTTTCTTATGTATTCTTCAGTCGTGACCGTCAATTTGTTCTACGATTTTAAGTTTTATTGCTGTTAAATAGTGCCTGCCTATCTGCTATTAGGATGCTCAAATGGTCTGGTTTACAACAAAACTTAAGACTTACCTATTTTTTTGGATTAATTAATTTGTTGTTTTTAATTAATGTATTGTTCAACAGTGGGTTGTATTATCTACTAAATTATGTGGAGATGGTTGAGTATAGAATGCATTTGTAACCATCTCTGTTCTTTCCGTACGTGTCTTATGAACCGACTTAGGAACTACTCATTTGACACAAACGAGACGAAAAGCAGCAGAGATTATGACAAATCCTCTAATTTCAAGGAAATCTGACCCGTCTGTGAACCGCCGAGGGCTGTTGAGAACTCTTCGTAGGGCTGTTAATAACTGTTCCGCCAAAGTACTGCAGTTTTTATACGATAAAACATTTCTTTTTTTTATACTTACTTGTACTTCTCAATAAACTCCTTGTATTCATCCTGTGGCCTCAGGTTCTGTATCGTGGTCTCTATTTTGGTCTGAATCTCTCTGAACTTGTCTGTACTGAAGTCTGACCTCTGCACCACTTCTAGGAGCACGCCTTTCCTGTTTAACAAATGATGTTGTTAATATTTCTACGAAAATTGTTTACCAACATTGAACATCTGAATCATAGATTGTAAGAATTCTGAATTTACTAATTCAACCTATATGGTTCATCCTCATCTATGTTTTAAATAGAGAATGAGTAAATATATCAGATAGATTTTGAAGACAGAGACCTTCGTATGAAGAAAAAAAGAATTCAATTTCCTTTCAAAAGAGAGTATTCTAGTACTACGAAAATGTAAAGTTATGTAAATATTAATATGATGAAATAATATATCATATTTCATAGTTCTTGCTTATTACTTTTCTGATTGTAGAGGCCTGTCAATATTAATTTCTTTCCCCGTTTATTATATTAAAACGTTTCTATGACGGTTACCTAATGTCCTAATTTTAGTAATCAGCTCAATAACAGCGACACTATATCTTTACAATCTAGGATTCCATCTTTATTATTATCTAAATCTAAATTGATCGATATGTCAAGTGCATTATCGACTAATTACAATAGGTAGTACAATAGGTAGTATCCATGTAAAAGTATTTTTGACACTTCAGTAGTTTGAAATCGATTTGTAACTACTTATACTTACATAGATTTTTATCTCCCATGGAGTGGATGAACACTTCTGTTTGACTGTCCTTATCAAATATTGTTCATTTACAATAATTTGTTTATTGATATGCTATTTATTTCATTTTGAGTAACGTTACATTGCATAACATCACGCCTTTTATCCCAAAAGGAGTAGGCAGAGGTGCACATTACTGCACTTAATGCATTGTAAAAGTGTACCCTTACACTATACAGTGACAGGGTAAGGGTACACTTTTCACTATTTATGTTATGAGTCCCATGTAATAGGGGGTGAGCCTATTACCATATTCCGAGGGTGTATATAGAGGGAGAGGTTCACTAATATAAAAAATAATGATTTTTCTCAATAAATAACGAAGCATTTTATAAATGTAATCGCTTAATAAGTCCAAGAATGTTTCATTCATCCAGAAACTCATTAAACTGCTGTAATATTTTACTCCGCGTCCTATCGATACCAAAATGGCCACCATTTTGCCTTCATTTTATAATTATTCGCATGCACTTATAAAAACTGTTTTGAGAAGCAACAACGGTTCCTAACACCTGTAGTTCGTTCTAGAAACCTGAAATATAGTCAAAGCCATCTTACCAAGACGTGGCAGTAGCCTCTCCCTGCCGGCGTTGCTGATCCAATAGCGTCGGTAATGCAGCAGTTCGCAGCGCCCTCTCGCACTCCGTAGCCTCAGCCAGCAGAAGCACATACTCATTATGAGCTCTATGTAGCCGTCTGCAGGCCTTGCCGTATTTGTCACGGGTCTCATCCAACTTGCGACCGCCTCGGCTTGTAGGACCTGGAAGATTTTAAAGGAGATGTTAAATATGACGGTATCAAATGTCAATCAATCTTCATAAAGATTAAAGTCCAATATTGCTACGTAAAAGTTTAAAAATTTTGAATGGAACTAAAAGCGCATAACATAAAAAAGCTTAAAATAACTTATTCAAAAGAAGATCTGTATCAAATACGTTTGTTTACGCCATGCCCATTAAAAAGTGATAAAATACTTATATCTTACATTTGAGGTAGTTCTCCTCGAACTTGGCCCTCATCTGCTTGTAAGACTCGAGGCATTTTTGGTACTCGCTCTGTTTCCTCTGGACCTCCTCTGACAGCTGTGAACAATAAAACATCACCATTTAACAATGTTATAACAACTGTGTTACCATGGGATACACTTTAACCTTTGCATACACCAATTTGAGTCTAATTTATCATTCGAAAACATACCCAAATATAAATAGTCCTTAAGTGCATAAATAATCATTTATTCCAAATAAAACTGTTTCCACTAGAACCAATATTAAATCGAAACAAAAAGAAACATGAGTTTATTCCGGGATTTCACAATCAAGGCCCAGGTGTTTAAGCTGAGCGTTGATAAACCAGTCAGTCTGGATCTCTCTAAAAGGACATGCGTATACGCAGACAAAAGACTAACCTGTTGAGCAGGAAAATTACGTAGGAAACCATTTATGTTTTCCAAACGCGAACCAGTTTTTGCATTTCAAGTTATAAAGTTTGACGAAACACGTCAGTGTTCCCACGTGGATTTATCTGTACATCTCTATTAAATAAAGCGATAAATTGCCAATGAAAACAGATGTGCTTGAATAATAAATGAGTGAAGCGGGAGAGGCGCGCGCGCAGGTGTGGGACGAACAAATCATGCTAACAACCAGATTTATTCTGCCATCGCGCCCTCGTGTTAGCGCCTTGCTGTAGTAGGAACATCTATTTGCTCAGATTTAATTACAGCAGAACAAAATATAGCGGTGACTTCAACTGAACTAGACAGACAAAGGCACGAATACAAAAATATCTTCGCGGTAAATACAATAAAATACAATAAATACATTCATTAAAAACATTTATCAACGAGTGTACAAAATTATTACAAAACATTAATATTTATCAGCAAAAGCCTTATCCGAATGTAATTTCCCGTGGAAATATTGGCGTGTGTGTGTAATGGCTTTATAAAGAATCGTTATCGAAGTTATAAGCTTCCATAAATGCTCATAATTGTGAAGAAAACTTCAGTAATGGATGAAATCCGAAAGTTTTCTCACGACCTTACTCGCTTCATATGTGAGTTAATTAAATAAAGAGTTAACGACACTGGGTAATGTTTTCCTCGGCTATTAGAGCTTGCTTTGTAAGTATCGGCACGTTTTTTACAACAGCCATTAACAATTAAATGCTAATTCTAAATTGCTTCTGCAAAGAATTGGACAAAAAATTTCTTCCTACTACACACGAGATTACAATGTACATATTCATTTATGTAAATATATTGTGCATTATGATGTCATGTATTATGCAACGTTACTGTATGTGGCTGAAATTAAATAAACATTTGATTTATAGCAAAAACTGAAAACTATGAATGTTTGTAAATGAGAGGCAAATCCGTAACCACTATCATATTTGGATTGAAATAATGTGATAGTTTAAGTAATGTTTAACTGTAAATTAGTTCGATATGATGATGTAATTATGCTTGAGTCACAAAGGACCCAGAATCGTGCAAACAATAAATCTAGACTCAAAATAGATGAGGTAACCCTCATAAACCACATCATATGTAATAAAGCTACCAAACAAAAAATAGACAAAAAACATGTCTTCTTTGAAATAAAATAATACAGGAAGTACAAATTAATAGCGTTATAAACCGCCAGCGAAATCAGTTGCCAAGTCATGTTACATACAAAAAGAAAATAAAAATGCTTTTAATCAAATCGTTTATAGATAAATGCTTCGATAAATCAATGAAACGTCGTAGCATGGTTTGCAGCAAAATTATGATAATGCTTCCGATATTTATTAGGCATTAGCAACTCATGATTCAACAACTGTTGAATGGGCAACAGTAACAGTAATAGCTAATGGACGTTAAAACAATAACAAACAAAACAAAGGAGATCTTACCACAAACAATATGGTATACACACATTCTTCAACAGATACATCTTGAACGTTTGTTTAAAAAAATGGAAACGCATAAACATTTTATATTTTCGTCTTTGTTCTTAAATAGTTAGATGATTTATTACTGTATATTCAAATCGTCAATCTAAGTATTTTTTGTAAGCTATAATACAATTATAATTACATGATCATATTATCAGTTTTGCCTGCTTCTACGGTTGATCGTAGAAGCAGATATTTGAAGGTCCTTCGCAAAATTAGGACCAAAAACGGTTCCTTGTGAAACACCCATTGAACTACGGTGTTTCAACGAATACTATTTGGACTTATTTCTTTAATATAATCTATTATCTGCTATGCAAAGTGACTTTATTGGACAAATCCATTAACAACTTACAAATAAAATCGCATTTCTTTACCGATACCTCGATCACAAGCATCTTGTTAAAAAATGTTTAGGAGCCAATTCACGTCAGCGTCCGTCATCGAGTCATCCGGAAATATTTGGAATAACAACACCAAGTTCGGTCCTTTTAATATTTACATTGATTGTTTACCGATCAACCTTTGTTTTTTGTAAACAACGAATAACGAATGTTTTAAATACTTTATTTATTCAAAAGAATATGAAATTCAATGTACATACTTATAATTATTCAGTTTCAGTAGATAGAATTTATGAATAGGAATTTGAAAAATTAAACTGCATATTTATTTTGATGAATAGCATGCTTTTCTTACTGAATATAGATACTTACATACCTAATAGAAAATTCAATACAAAATGTACAAAACATAAGAATCGTAATACATTAAATCATCATTAGGTGAATCATATGATCACTTGCCGCCTTGGGATATAACGCATCAAAATTAATTTCGGTTTAAATTAAAATCATATTAAATGTAAAACCTTGGTTACTAACGTGCGAAAATTTTAAATGAAGACTATCAATCTTATTCAGAACGAATGAAAAATAAATTGAATCCTTTACCGTTAGCTATTTTAATAATGATAAAATGGATGTTCCTGGCAGAAATCGTGTCCATGGTAGACATTATTAGCTGCTAAAAAACTCTAGGTCGGTGTTAGAAAAATTAAATCAAAATAATAGCATCCGGTTACCAGTGCATATTTTATAAGTTAACAGCAACATTTCGTGGCCATTTGGTATACAACAAAATTAAATATCTATTTAACAGACAGGTTCGTCTGGAAATCATTCCAATTTAGGTAATTAATACATTCCCATACATGCGGATTCACTTAAAATTGCTTATATTACATAACATACATAACATCACGCCCTTTATCCTCGAAGGGGTAGGCAGAAGTGTACATTATGCCAATGTACAATGTAATACCCACTTTTCACTATTTATGTTATGAGTCTCATGTAATAGGGGGTGAGCCTATTGCCATATATCGGGTACAATTCCGGACTCCGTGCTCCTACTCAGATTTTTTTAAAACCCATTAATACCCCTTGCGACCACTCGGCCAACGAGGCAGTCTGCTTTTATTAAGGTAACATTTTCTTATTTCCTTGAGATTTGTAAAACAAAAAGTGATTTGCTAAAATGATACGAGGATTATTTAGGAACATCTTGGAATGGTGATAATTGCAAGAATTGAAATCACATGACTTGCATTACCGTTACCATTGGACAATGAATACGGTAATTCGCACAATATGATTCTCATGCTAATGTTCTCCAGTGAAATAAATCTTCAAAGACATAATGACCGCATGATATAATGTATATGCAAAATACTTTGGTATTCTTGGAAGTTGCAATGTCAAAAATAAGGACAATAATATTTTGGTTTGACTCAAATGGCAAAAGTTTAGGACTGTATTTGCTACAGTCCTAAATTGTATATTATATTTTCATGTAAGATACTTCAACTTGGTACAACAATAAATCAATTTTAGTTTACTGTAAGTAGAAATACATATCTTTTCATAAAAATGTCAGCACAAAAGAATAAACAAAAGCCATACATGTCCGAGGTCCTAGTACAGCACCCTGTGGCAAACCACAAACGACGCACTCAGTTCATTGACTTGAACACTCTCGCTCTCAGTAAATTAGCTAAGATTTACTATCATCATCTAAAATGAGTAGTCATAAGGGAAAAATCTGGTTTGAAAAGCATACAAAAATCATACCTAATGTGTATAGTAGTGTCTAAAGCCTAAAGCCTAACCGTATCCATACTCTGAATGCGCAACAATAGTCGCTAAGTTCTGTAAAAAATCAAACGTTTTAAACATCAACACAATTAGAAATAATAACTGCGTAAAGACTTGAAGCACGAAGTGTATCGAATAGCATTATCTTGAGTCATAGACCAAAATAAAACATTAATATGTTACTTAATAGACATAATGCCTCATGTACATAAAAATGGATGTGCTAGATTAAAAGTGAAATCGTCATACATGTATTTTAGATGTTAATAACTGCCTGCCAATAGAATTTCGTATATAGAAAGTATAGAGAATGCAATAAAATTGCAATAGTATTGTGCAAATAAAAACTTGTAAAGTGCTTGAGAACTACGTATTATGAGTAACATAAGCGGTACGGTTAGTAGGTGTCGTGAACAAAAGCAGAAAGTAACAATGTCGCATGCACGGAAGGAGACAAAGTAACGGTTTTCCAAGAACGGTGTCTGCCAACGTAAAACCCTCGTTTTATGTGAACGTTAGTTAGATAAGCAACCTATATTTTTACTTTTACGATAAGCATAAATCTGTACAAGTGTACATTTGTAAATGGGGTACCTAACTGTTCATGTAAGGTTACACTCAATTGTTCTAAGTGCAAAGTTAGTACCACATAAACGCGTTTTCTTGATAAGAAAGTCAATAGCCAGCGCACAAGCAATGAGGTTATTGTAGTCAAGACAGAACTTTGCATTTCGCTTCGAATATAAGTTTTTTTCATGAAAAGATCCTCTGATATATATGGATTTTACAAACAGTTCGGAAGTACGGAACTGGGTCAGGATAGAATTAGCCCCTTGAGAATCCCGTGCGGCATGCTCCACTCCTGTTACTAAGAGACATTAGCAAGAATGTGTGCTAGATATTTATAAACATAAACACGCAACTCCATTGTCTGTGACCCACATACATCAGATGCGGCAACTCACACGCATGCCATTGCCTTT